GACAGGGATTAGGAGCACATTGGTATCCACCTAAAATATAAAATACGCCCACTTTAGGATTTAACTTGTAATGCAATAAATATTAAAAAAAACTTTCAAAAATATTGGTTCATTTTTTTCAATATTTTTCGTTATTAGTTTTCATAGATTTTACAAACCAAGTTTATGGTTTAGAGAAATTATGTTATACAACACATGTAAAATACCCGACGAATTTGGCGCTTTATTTTGACATAACACCAGTTCGACAATTGTACAGTAATCTTACTTGATGTTGTGGATTCACAATTAATTCCGGTGTATCCAGGTGGGCACATACAACTATATCTCATTCCAGGCATTGACGCACTGGTGCAAGTACCACCATTTTGACATGGATTATTCTCACAGTAGTTCCCAGCTAGATAGTTAGTATAAATTGTATGTTTCATTATTTGTGCAAGGGACATAACATCACATTTAGAACTAGAAATGTACTTCAATGACTGTTTAAATTTTTATTAATCACCGCATGTTATCAAAAATAAAGAATGACAAATATTAAAACTTCGCCCAGCACAGCAAGAAGTTCATTTGGTTTAATTTGACCTACCATTTATTGGAGTTTCACAGTAAATGCCAACGTAACCTGATGTACACATGCATGTTACAATGCCATTGACGACCGAACAACTACCGCCATTTTGACAAAAATTGTTACTACATCCCTGGTTTCCTGAAATACGAAATAAATATATAGTATGCTTAATTATCCTATGTCAAATCATCATTGGTCTCAATGTCAACAATCAATGTATGATTGCTGTCAGCGATGAAACTGATTGTCATGTCGTCATAAATGATGGGTGTGTATTTAGGAATAGTCACATTGCTTCAATAAGAATAAAAGACTATGCATATACAGGTAGTCCTTTTTTGTCACGTTACCATCCGTTATCTGATAATTCGTCAGGCATCATATTTAGGCATTATTGATTTGTAAATATGTTGTGTCGATGGACTGAGATGAAAGACTACTAACTAGACGTCACGACTAAGACTATGTATTGAGACAGCACCTCTAATGTTTAACTTGTGATACTTGAAAGGCATCATAATAAACGGAAATAGCCCCATCGTCTGATTTGACATAAGTAGTACAAATAGAAACTTATTTTGTGTAGCGCGTGGCGGTATTTCTAGCATTAGAGGAAGAGTATGTATAACTGGGGTATTTTAAATTATTTTGTTGATTTACACATGTCGATTTCAGTAGAAGACAGACCTGTCTGGTATGTGCAAATTGCATTATGTGTTGACTGCAATGTCTCCTCGCTCATCAATGATTTTATTCAGTTTAATCGAACCTACCATTTATTGGAGTTTCGCAATTCATTCCAGAGTAGCCGGATGCACATGTGCATACTTCAAAACCAAACATATTTCTACAGGTACCGCCATTTAGACAAGTTGTGTAACCACATTCCTGACCTCCTCCTGTGAAATATAAAAGTACATTTTGTATGGAATACTTCGTCAGACAAACTGAATAACGAATGATAATAGTGAAGAGGCCTACACATAAATGAAACTACCTTGAATTTGGATTAATTTTCAATATATATTGTACTCCGAAGCAAAATTTTCATATTGGCGAAAACAATGTTGCGGCCACCAAACTATTTTTGAATTATTAAAATGTAAGTTTTACCAAGTCAGTATCACCAATTATCTCAAGAAATATTGTGTTGGTAAGAATCCGTTACCTACCGTTTATTGGAGTTTCACAATGAACACCATAGTAGCCAGACGTACACGTGCATACTTCAAATCCAAACGCATTTGTACAAGTACCGCCATTTTGACAAATGGTATGACTACATCCTTGGCTTCCTCCTATGAAATTCAAAATAAAAACATTTCACGGATATATATACCATATGTCATACCCACTGCACATGCCCAAATCATAACAGCGCCACCACGTGAGGATGTTGCGTGCGACCACCTCACCACTTTCACCTGCTCTCAAACACTTATATTTATCGGGTGTTCTCTTCTTGGCAATATTTTGTGATACAAACTTAATTTAAAAAACACTCAATTGGTTGTGAGATACGTGAGGGGTGTGTTGGCGGCCCTCAGCTATCCTATCATCAAATTAATTAAATTACAAACAAAAATAATACACAAAATATGTGATATAAACATATGAATCGTACCACTAAGCCTTGATTCACAGAGAGTTCCAGTGTACTCCTGTAAACAGTAACACACTGGGATTGCAGCCGTCATTACACACACACCCCCATTTAGACATGGGTTAACTTCACATTCGGATAATCCGAGTCACAATTTGCATATTGGCGAAAACAAAGTTGGGGTCACCAAACTATTTTCTTTTTTTTATCCGTTATGGAAAATGTGTTATTATTAGTTTTTATTACAAAGACATCTTCCCACATTTTAAATATTTGTATGGTGACATGGCTAAATACACTGACACTGACATGTTAATTTGTCTTATCTTGAATTGTTCATAGCATCGGAGTTTTAAAAATAGGTTTAAAATGAAATAATGCTTTATCATTGTGCTAAATGACAATTGTACACAAAATCATAGTTTTGCATAATGATTTTTGTTTTGTATTCCGTTTTAAGAATTTGAAAACCAATGACAATAAACTTTTTGTTTAAATAATTAAAAAGTAAATTTTACTAAGTCATTGTCACCAATTATCTCGGGAAATATTTTGTTGGTAAGAAACCGTTACCTACCGTTTATTGGAGTTTCACAATGAACACCATAGTAGCCAGACGTACACGTGCATACTTCAAATCCAAACGCATTTGTACAAGTACCGCCATTTAGACAAATGGTATGACTACATCCTTGGCTTCCTCCTATGAAATATAAACGTACATTTTTTATGGAATACAAGAAAATAAAAAAAATTGTTATGTATATTCATTATATGTCATGTCCACTGCACACGCTCGAATCATAACAGCGCCACCACGTGATGACGTTGTGTACGACCATTTCACCACTTTCACCTACTCTCAAACACTTATATATATCGAGTGTTCTCTTCTCTTCTTGGCAACATTTTGTTATACAAACTTAATTTAAAAGTCATTCAATTGGTTGTGAGATACGTGAGGGGTGTTTTGGCGGCCCTCGGCTACCCTATCATCAAATTAATTATATTATTAAAAACTTAGCACACAAAATATGTGATATAAACATATGAATCGTACCACTAAGCCTTGATTCACAGAAAGTTCCAGTGAACTCCTGTAAACAGTAACACACTGGGATTCCAGCCGTCATTACACACACACCACCATTCAGACATGGGTTAACTTGACATTCGGATACTGAAAGGAAATGTTAAATAACATTTTACCAATGGTCTCAATATCAACAACCAATGTATGATTACTTTCAGCAATGATATGTGGTAATCATCGCTGGGTGATCATTTTAGAACATTGGTACGTTGCTTTAATAAGGAAAAGGCGTCAACAAACATGTATTCATTTTCTATCACTGTGTCATATTCATTTGGAAATTGTTAAAGGGGAACCGCTCAATCCCTATGGATTGCACCAAAGAATCATGGGACACTATTGTTTATGTTGTTTACAATGTTAATCTATCTTTTGTTATCCATTGTTATTTTAATCCAGAAAGTAAATTTGTTGTGAAATTAATCTTAACTGGAAGGTACCCCTTTAATACGATATTAATTACAGGCATTTTTGATTTGTAAATAATTTGTGCCAATGGATTGAGATGAGAGACGACTATATTGAGCATCTCTTATACTTAAAACAGGGTCATCGTGTTATTTTAGGATTAAATTTAGCATTAATAGTACAAACAGAAATTTTTTGTATAGTGGGTGGCATATGTTTTTAACAATATAACGTCAGACATGGCACGTAAATGACGTTGTGATTGGTAATAATTTGTTGGACAAAAGCCCTCCGTCAAAACAGAAATACAACTGGTGACGACCAAAAAAATATTAACTGATTTGTTACATCACAATTTGTTGGTAACATAAATGAAAATCCAGTGTGTGTATATGCTATATCAAACACAAAATAACAATTATAGTCCGGTTGATTTTTTTAAAATTATGAGATAATTTAAAATTTACAAAGTAACAAATGATTCCCCACTATGCTGTGTCAGTTAGGCTGTCTCCACAAGCTGTCACTTGCCTATCAATGTGCGTCTTCAAATTGTCAGCTAAAGCCTAGTTATTTAGGTACCCTTAACTGCAAGCTGTATAACTTATTGCTCTGGGCTTGTGACTGTATACTCCGAGTTCAAATCATGGGATTGAACGCTAAAAGAGTTTGACCTCATAGCGTGAAGTGAGTAGTATAGACCAAAACGGAAAAAGCCACTGCCCTTTGGGATACGAGATTGTGGAAGCTTTGGTTAATCAAGGTATTATTGACATGTCGCTGTGGTGTAATGTAAATGTTTTATGTTGAGAATCTCAAATAGGGGCATCATTTCCTAACTGGGTCACCTTCATTAAATATATAAATATAATTTTAAAATCTTACCAAATTGAGCGTAGGTTGTTGCCAACAACGATATTAATAACAACACACTCTTCATTTTTATTCAACCTGTTTGGGAGGTAAATTGTAGTTTGGGAGGTAAATTGTAGAATTGTCACCAGCACGGGACACGGAGTATGATTATGGCAGACAAAACACATAGATTGAATTCAATAGACCGTAAAGGGAAAATGAAAAATTCAACATTCAACAAGCCCGCCGCGGAATACAGCTTTGGACTAAATAGAGCAATATAGTGTGTTTGAATGAATATGCCAGAACATTATTACCATGTCTTGGTAATGCCATGTCGTGGTAATACGAACAAAATGACGTGACCACGTTTGTACTGATACCATTGTACTTGTCACTTTTTCTAGGCGGTCTTTAGACAACCTAGACCATTTTTTAATCGAACAGCGGTTAACATAACGAGAATGTGTATCAAATAAAGTAATACGTACGGGTATATGTATAGTGTATGAGTTAATATATGGTTTGTCGGGGAAGGAACACCTGTGCATGGAACATTCCGTTGGATGGGACTGTTTCGTACTGATTATAAACACCAACAACTAAATTGTGAAACTGTAACTCATGAGCCAACTAAAAAGGTGTCAATACTTACTAAACGGAGTCCACTCCGTTTAACGGAACTATGTCGTGCAATAACGCAGACCGATCACCGGTAAAAAGCAAACTGGACTTGTTTACTGTCTTCTCCCACCCTGACTGAAAACACATCGATAAAAAACGCCTTAAATTCGTCTTGTTGTGCCTAGACAGAGGTCGGGGTTAGTATGACCTCCCAGCGACGAATGCAACTGGTACCTATTGTCATAAAGGTGACAGTGGAATAATAATGAAGCATACGTCATTTATATATTACTAAACGGACACAAGTCACGACATTCTCGCAACCGGTGAGACTGCGTACACATGTACGGTAATATGCACTTCACACTAGAACATACTTCATACAAAATAGCATGCATGCATGCATACAAAATGTAACCATGCATTACCACAGCATGGATAGGTTCGCTCAGCTACTAACAAAAAGTGACAGTACTCCTTTCATAGGTAAATCAGTCTCAGTAAATACAACAATAGTGCACAACAACATGGCATACCTAAAACACGTACGACATGTACGTGTACAGTCGTAGCACCAGAGGGTGATAAGTGGTTACATAAATCAGAGCACATTTTTTTTTTCACAGGATACTGGAAGTGGTTCAGTTTTAAACTTAGATATTTCAGGATTGAATACAGCGATGGGATTGACATACTTTGTTGTAAGTATCAATGGGAACCAGTGCCAAGAAGTGCACAAATGATGACAAAAAATCGGTAAGCAAAATGTTGATCAACCGATCATGTGTGAAATTCTTGTCGTAAATGTCGAGCAAAATTCCCTCGATGAAAAAAATAAGAGCCTACATTGTAAAGTATAAATGGTTGTTGGTAGAAGAGTCGGTAGCTATATTTATATTAAAGCGGTGGAGTTGTCATCTGCGCATGCGGCAGACGGCCATAGCGCGTCGTTGTTTACAAATAAGCGTCTACCCATGAACCTTTGCGTTTTAAGCACGCGTTGTTACCGTCGCTTGGAACTCAGTTCCAGCGCGTGCGCAGATGACGACCCCTCCGCTTTAAATGTATATATTAAAAAAACGTGAATAAAACATTTTAGATATACATGTGCACTTGATTTTTTTTAAATTACCAAATCCGTCTCAAGAGAAAATGTGGCTCTCCGTTTACAACAATAATTACCAAGACAATATTTTTTTTACTAGCCTCACATAAATCTTTCTTCGACAGTCAGTAATCAACACCATGTACTATGTAGACAACCTGCAATATCCACACAATTCATCAAACGAATTTACGATGCCCGAAGTTTACGCTTAGCGAAAGTTCTGACATACCCAGAGGCACATTCGACTTGTCATAGTTTAAACAACATCGGTCACAATAACTTGACTAGATGTGAGTTATTATTGATACATGATCTGGTGAGTGTTCAAACGTAATCAAGAGCACAATAACTTAACTCAGTGAAAATTTACACATAACCGGAGACATATTAACACAACTTGGCAAGAGTTTAAAAGTAACCAGGTCACATTTGGTGAGGGTTTAAATATAACCGACTTGGTAAGAGTTTATAGAAAACCTGAAAATATTAACTCGGCTTGATGGGAGTTAATATCTTAATACATCAACTGTAACACATTAACTGGCCTTGTTGGAAGTTTGTAAATCATCTGGAAACATTAACTCGATGCCGAGGATTCAAACATAACCTCAGACATAATAACTCGACTGGTTAAAAACTAGCCTGATACACATTAACGAGGCTTAGCGGGAGTTCATACATGACCTAGGAATAATAACTGGACTTAAGGTAGAGATGCAGTTTATTTGTGAATTTCAATCAAAAATAGTTTTTTCTCGTTTTTTATATAGATTTTTATCTAAAGAACATTCTGTGAAAATTTGACCAATGAATTCTTATTAGAACACCGTTAAAATTGCTGGTTATTTTCTGATTAAAAATAAAAAACACTCACACGTGGCAATATTTATGTCCAATTGCCTAATTTGCATGAGTAATCAAATAACAGGACCTTTGATTGACAATATGCAAATCGAGATTGTACGGGTCATAGTTAATTCAATTCACGCGCATGTGCAATTATTCTCA